ACCATTCTACTGGTAGATATTCTACTACCAACTCAAAACCGTATTCTTGAACGCCAATAGAATAGTTGGTAATAGAACTGGTCGTGCACGAATATTATTCGAATGGTGCGGAACGGCAACGTCGCAATGCCGTCCGTTCATTGGTCGAAATTTTTATGAGCACGCGCAATTCGTGGAAATTCAAAATACAAAATAATATTTCAATATTACACTCTTTTTTTTATAGCGACCTTTCCGTTCTCGATCCCTGTTTCTCTTTTCGTCTTACTTCTGTTTTATTTTTTGTACGATGGCGAGAAAGTCTTTAACACCGGCACAGAAAGAAGCTTTGGTAGAATTTATGGAAAACCACCCCGATCTTAGGAAAGGAAAGTTTTCCATAAATTTCACAACAGCTAAGGCAAAAAAAATGTGGGTGGAATGCCAAGCTTTGTTGAACAGCATCCCCGGACCGTCCAAAGAATGGCATGAATGGCGAAAAGTAATAATTGATACTTAATAATTGAAGTTTGTATTATATTATAAATATTGATGAAACAAACAGAAATTCTAACATAAGATATTAAGAAAATATCTAAAATAAAAATGTTTACCCCATAATCAAATATCACTGTAGGTACATGTTTAAGAAAATAGCTCTAGTATTAGTTTAAATTAATCACTTAACATTTAAAATATAAAAAAATAAAAAAATATATTAATTCGGTATTGGAATAGTTACGCATAATATGATACACCTACACAATGCAATTTAAAGTTAACAAATTAACTTAATTTAACAATATTTACACAAAGATTTAAACAATAATATCCCATATCAATATAATTTAGAAAAAAAAGTATAACTAAGAATTTCTCAACATGTATCTATATAGATAATATGGTAAAATCTATGTCCAATTTGAGCTCATTGTCATAAAATCTCTCATATAACAATTTACAGTAATCAATACTTAAATAATAAGACAAATGTATCCCTTCATTGTAGTAATTTCAATGAATTTTAGGTTAAAGGCTCTAAATTGTAATCGATGGATTACTCATACCTATACCTTAATATTACATTTTTAAATATATATGCCCTAATTTAGGTATAAACTATAAATGTATAGGTAATTGCATTATTAAATAATTAAATCATATTATGTTGCAAAATACTTAAGTACCTTGATGTTTGTAGTACCAAACTAACTAATTGATTCATTAGTACTATTGTAAGGCCTTATAATTATTAACAATATTATAAAAAAAATTTCTATGAATATTTATATTTATTTTCTTTTATAAAGAATGAACAAATGTTCATACAGACGGTGGGATGTATATAATAATATTATAATACTATTATATACTTGCTTATAGATTTGTATTTTGTAGAGTACCTATTTTAAATTTTTTAATAACTTAAAAACAAAATATCAAATCAAGGCCACTTAGTTATATTCCTAATGAGATGAACTAAATACATCTAATTTAAATTATCACAATATGTAATACACCAATTTATGATACATTCAATTTTAATTTTTCTAAAACATTAAATTTAATATTATTAACTGTTATTACCAGCTAAGCAATCATTATTATTTGTTACATTATATTTTACCATTTATATAACTATTGACAATGTTTAACTAACTTTCTATAAAAATACACAATATATAAATATAAATATTATGTGTGTGTGTATGAATAGAGAGTATATTATATATAATTGTATTTATATAAACATGTTTAAGAGAATAAATTAAAAAAAAAAATGTATGATCATAGACTTGGCAAGACCTTAAAGCCAAAACTAAAAAAAAAAAACTGATATTAAAAGTGACCTCTCTGGAACTGGTGGAGGTCCTCCTCAAACTGAACAGTTAGATTCTGTAGAAGCGAGGATACTAGGTACAATAGGGGAAGTACCATTAAGTGGGGATCCTTATGTCCACGAATCAACTGTGAGTTTTGACTATCAGGATTCAAACAAGTGTGTGTCAGAATTTGTTGATCCCCTTGATATGCCTGCCACTTCTAGTAACTTTCAGTAAGTTATTTATAAACTACCAAATAAAAATAAATAAATAAAAATAATTAATTATTTTCTGTTGTAATCTATCTATATTTTATAAAAGATACTTACAACCAGCACAAACGTCTCAAAATATTAGTGAGAGTATAATGGATACTCAGCCAACCAAAGAACCATTTACCGAGTTGTCTCAACTGAAACGGTATCCAATATAAACTTAACTTAGAAATGTGATATAACTTAAGGTTAAACTAATTATTGTTAATGTACTTTATATATAACAGTGTTGTGAAGTTCTCAAAAGCAGATAGATTAAGGAACACAGTTGAAGCCACTAATAAACTGAATGAAGTATCTGAAGCCCGTAATGCAATAGTGGAGACCTATTACAATGCTAAGATTGAGTTACTCAAAAAACAAACTGAGCTAAATGAAAGGATGGTAATTGCTAAAGAAAGGAGTGCCATTGCCAAAGAAAGGAGTGCCATTGCTAATGAAGCAATTGCAAGAGCTTTAGCAATGATGTTACCACAACATCTTTCAAACAGCCACACTACTAGCACAGAATAGATTAAATGCTAGTAGTACCTACGTCTAACCATCACTATTACACTTAACTTACACTACTTTATACTCTATACCTTAATCTTTAAATTTAATAATTACCACTTCTATAATCTATAATAATTAGTAATTACATAATATTAATATAAAAATGTTAGGTGATAGCACTAGCCACTAATAACTAATAAGTAATAACATAGAAGTATAAAACACTGAACAACTAATAACTAATAAGTAATAACTAAAAAGTATGTGTGTGTGTGTGTGTGTTGTCAATACTTAAACATAACCTTGAAAACTATTATAATTATTAATTATATGATTTTGAAGGGTTATGTTTTTGTATTGTACACTTGTACACTTGTACACTACAACATACATAGTACATACTACATAGTACATAGGGTAAGAGTACCATGAATGAACATTACCAGTGAATGAACAAATTATACTTTATATCGTATTATTAAGAAACCCAGTGCACGTACACTTTATATTTATAATAAATAAAACAATCATAATATTCTTATGTTGCCACACGTGATTTTTCATGAACATACGAACGATTCTCATTTATATGAAATGATAAGTTTTCCCTCCAATTTGTAAATGATACTGTTATTATCATTTTTTTAAATTTTTTATTATTAACTGAAATATATTACTATATTATACAATGATATATGTGTATAACTATCAATTTTATATTGCCTAACCTAATAAATTTATTATTAAGGGGATTCGATGCAGCGTATTTATTTCATGATTTAGACCTAAAAGCCTGACAAAAATACGCCTACATAGAATTATCAGATTTTAATTCTGTAAAAAGATTCGAGTTCATTGACAATCTTCGCACACAAACACACTGCGAAACAACTATAATACATCGAATTGCCTATACACGACCCCTTATTAAATCACCTCCTCGAACCCCCTTAAGAGTTAAAGTTCAGAACGTAGTTATATTTTCAGCAAAAATACTGTTTGTTCATTCACTAGGAAAGGTTGTTTTTTAGGGTTTATTCATTTTTAATTATTTATTGATAACTAATTTAAAATAAATATTATAATATTCTTGCACAGAATTATTCAATGAATGAAAAATATATTTTAAAAACCCTCGAATACCAAAAATGTCTATTGTATCATTACTTGAAGATTGAATAGTGCTTGTGTGTTCATTCATTGGTGCACTCACCCTACTTACTGATTATTATTTAATATTTATTTTCAATTAATATTTAGGTACCTACCTAAGTGTTTATATAGGTAGTTTTGTTTAATACTTTTATATCTTAATTAGTTTATAAGAAAAACACACTCATATATAATATAACATAAATATTATTTAATTATTGAATAAAGTTTGAACAATTTGGTCTCGAATATGTCGTCCACTAGATAATTCAGGATTTCTTAAGTCGACAATTCCTCTATTATTTAATAAAGCTTCCTCCAGTGACTGATAAATACCTAAGTCAATGATCTCATCTTCATCAACATCCACCAATGACACGTTGTCTGTAATACACATATTATGCAAAACCACACATGTGTTAATTATTTTGGATGCTTTATTTGGGGTGTAATGAAGCACTCTATGTTTCAATAGACATCTGGAATTAACATAGGTAGGTATTATTATATTTTATTTTGACATATATTATATTATAGGTTATAGGGTCTAAGGTGGTTTTATTTGTACTTTAGCATATATGTAAATTATTTTATTATTTATTATTTATTATATTCATTATTTATAAGTATATGATTGTTATGATTGTTATGATTGTTGATCTAATTGAACAAAATGCATTATTGTAAGAAGCTTCGGGGGATAGTGGAGCAGGATCCAAGTACGGAGTCATTAACCAAGGACGAAGGGCATATCCTGAATCACCTGATATAAAAAACAATATAGCATGTCCAGGGCCGTATTTGGACAATTTGCGCCCCGGGGCAACATATTTCCGCCGCCCCTCTCCCCCTCCCCCCACCAAAAAAGATACTATTTCTTAAAATGTAAGGTGTAACTATTTTGTTGTATACAATTTTGGTACAAAGAAAATTGAACCAACTACATAAACATAATAATATATTAATATGCTACTCTCACTTATATAATATTGGCGAATTAAATGTATATACAATATACACTATAATATTAAATACATATTATGTGTGATTTATTATTGTAAAATTTATTATGAATAATATTATATTATGAACATAAAAATGTAACAAAATTCTTTCTATTATAGTTATTTATTTACATAGGAAAACCAATGTCAATTAAAGAAAATAGTTTTAAGTAAATAATGTATCATTTATTATTAAGTATTGTATTTGGTATTAATAATTATAATCTAAATAGGTATATAAATAACAATATATAAAAATATATAAAAAAAATTTATAACTTTCTCCTGGACTGAAGGTTTGAGAATAAAATTATCATCTCTTCGAAATCTGTTTTACTGGTTATATCAGATTCTATTGTCAATAAAGCCAACGCAGAACACCTTTCTTGATTCATTGTTGACCTTAAATAATTTTTTACTCGTTTTAGCACTGAAAACGAACGTTCAGCTGAACAGTTAGTAGATGCCGTTGATAAAAAAATACGTAGTGCAATTTCTACGTATGGATACAAAATTATAAAATTGTTACTTCTTATCCATAACATGAGTTCCAAAATAGTTTGAGGATTATTGCCAGAAGTCCCTAAGCTATGGATGTGCCCTTGTAGCTGAACCACCTCACTAACCAAACTTATATTTAAATCATTTGGATAATCTTCACATAATTCCTTTGCACTTTTACGAATTTCATTATTTGAATGCTGTATTATATTATGAAAAAAGGAAAATTTTTTTACTAAATCATCATATGCAGACTTGCGTTTTTGTAACTCTGATTGTAAATTATCTAGTATAAAAAAATATGTCATTACAATAAAATGTTCTCGACCAGATAATGTCACTTCATTGGATCTGGTTTCGCCATGTGGTAATTTCCGTCTTCTTTTTCGTTTCTCATTATCTTTATAGTCACTTAATCCAGACAAGTCTTTAGCAGAACTTTCATAGTCCATAAATCTATTTCTACTCCGAGCTGATTTAACATAATATATTATTGAATCATAAAGTTGAACCACAGTGATTAAATCAATACTCACAGATTGTAACTTTTTACTTGTTTTATTCGAAATTTCAAGAACATCACCCCAAAATACAGCCATCAGAGCACATTCTAGGCGGTTTAACTTTTGCAATAACCCTTTGGCTTCACAACGAGTAGTTGGTTTTTGACTAGTATCATCCAAAATTGTTTTCAACACTCCAATGACCAAATCCCAGTTTTTGTTAAGTGATCTACAAGCATCTTCACGAGCTGACCACCTAGTTTCAGACAGACCTTTTAACGTGACTTTTGCATTCAACATTTCCCAACGATGAGTCGACGCCGTAAAAAAACAGTATACTGCTTGTAACAGTTCAAAAAAATGACAGGCTTCTTTACAACAATTTGCTGCACAACTACCAACCAAATTTAGAGAGTGTGCAGCACATGGAGAATACTCAGCTAGTGGATTAACCTCCTTGATTCTTGCCTGTAGACCTGAGTAAGCTCCTGACATGTTACTTGCATTATCATAAGATTGTCCTCTCAAATTGGCTAAATCAATGTTATACTACAATGCAAGAGTAGTTAATACACTATCAGCCAATTGTTCAGATTTATGCCCAGTATTCTCTAAAAAACCCATGAACCGTTCTTTAGGATACCCATCTAAAACGTACCTTATTACGAATGATAATTGGTCAGTATGGGAAATATCAGGAGTTGAATCAACTATTATTGAAAAATACTTTGCTGTTTGGACTTCTTTTAGAATATTTTCCAATACTTTGTCACTCATCAAAGTTATAAATTGTTCATATGTATGGAACGATAAGTATGATGTTGACCCTTTTCCTTTATTAGCATATTTAGAAATACGTGATGCTAAAAATGGATCAAATTGTGCTATCAATTCCATGGACATTAAAAAATTTCCATTGTGTGGGCATCCAATTTTCTCCGAGTTACCTCCAAAAGCCAATCCTCTTATTGCCAAGGTTTTTACCACTACAACCACTCTTTTCAAAACATTTTTCCAATAGTGAACTTCATCGTTAATTTGAGATAATAATTCAGTATCAATCCTATTTGTCAGTGCTCCTCGAGACTTCATAGTCAACACATTTGATTTGTGAGCTAGAGATTGTTCATGTGATGCAATTCTATTTCCCGCTCTTTTCCAATCTGAATACCCGGTTGTAGCAAAAGCAGAATTCGCTCCAAATAATTTACAAGGAATACAAAAAATAGTTCCTGTACTTTGAGAGTATACAAGGTAGTCTCTTTGAATTTTTTCACCATTAATAAGAATTGTAAAAAACAATTTGTTCGTACAGTACCTGAAATGCACTTTTTTTTCCCACGAATAACATTATTACAAATTCTTTTTGAGTTTGTAAAATCTAATTTTTCAATATTTTGTAACACTCCACATGATGATATTGTGTCTCTAGTAACATCATTTACTATCCATAGTGCAGGATCGTTACTTGAAATTAAAAATATAATATTAAGTTAATAAATATAATTGGAAAAAATTGTATTAACAAATTAATGTCAAATTACCTGGGTGCTTTAAACTGATCAACATTTAATAACATGTCATTATTTGTCTCTAACAAAAACTTTCTGCAATGTTATCACTAGAATTCACAGACACTGCTAAACAAACAAAAAAATATAAAATTGTCTTAATGAATATTCTAATAATCTAATACATACAAATGATTTAATTTAAATCTACATTAATAATGAAAAATAATTTTTCATTTGTAATAACAAGGTTAATAACATACAACCTATAAAAACATCACAAATACAACAATATGTATATTATTTTATTATAATAAAATAAAAATATTATATTATACTAATTCTATAAGCCAAATATAAATTATAATAATATATAGATTATAGGTAACAAAAAAAGTTATTCCATTTGCCATAATCAATAGTAAAATTGGCATAGTAAGTCGATTACTATAAATTAAAAAAATTAAAGATAGATAGGTACTTTTGAATTTTTATTACCTGGGCTATGGATCTGTTGTAAACATCTGTTTTCATTGTTAATAGCTTCACATTCTTCATCAACTACAGATACAGGATCATCAGTTGGCAATACAATATTACTTTCATCAAGATTTTCCAACACTTCTAAATTCATAAATTAAAACTTAAATGACTACCTATTGCATTTTAGTACTTATTATTGTTGTCAATATGACAATATGATCATAATATTTATTAAATATAATATATTATAGGTCATAAAAGAGTGATTCCATTGACAATCAATAGTAAAGCTGACATAGTACATAATTACATAAATTAGGTACACTAAATTAAAAAAATTAAAGATAGATAGGTACTAGGTATTGAATTTATATTACCTAGAACACGGATCTGTTGTACACATCTGTTTTCATTGTTAATAACTTCATATTCTCCATCAACAGGAACAGGATCATCAGTTGGCAATATAATATTACTCTCATCATGATTTTCCAACACTGCTAAATTCAAAATTTAAATCTTAAATGATCCTATGATTTTAGTAGGTAATAGGTACTTAATAATGTTGTCAATATGACAATATGACATCCACTTCTTATAGATTTGTTAAATTTTTAAATACAAGGTACCTAAGTGCCAACCTATATAAATATTTTTTTTAGCTTATGCTAATGGCTAGTGTAAACTTTCTTACCTGAGTTAATTGTAAGACGTTCTCCAGTAGTACTAGTTGGAAGTGGAACCGAAAAATAGTTTTGTAAAGTTTTTGTTTTGGTTAAAACTTCAGCTTGTTTTTTAGCTTTTTCTTTGGCCTGTGTTCTGTATCCAGCTCCACTAAGTCTTTTACGATCCATAATTATACAATTTAACTATTTAAATATTTACGAATGATTATTTACAGTATGAGACTGAAATTAGTAACGACACTCGGGTCTCGTGACTCGTACGATGTTTACTGTTTAGTGTTTTGTATAGTACGTAATATCGAATATCGATTAATCGTGCGTTCGCGCGGTTACAGCCGTGGCCCGTGGCACTGCTGCAGAGATAAACTCTACACGCGTTTTGCGACATCGTTATCTTAAGTTCAAAAACCCAATCTATTTATAAATAGTATGTTAATAATATAATTTATATTATTTTCCGACAAACTGATGTTAACAATATTATATCTTTTCGAACTATAATAATGTTTTTAATAGAAGGTTAAAATAATAATTAAAATGATGTAAATTTATTTATTTTTTCTCAACAGTTAATATACAATAATAATTTATCAACATAAATTTGCCGCCCCCTAAATGGACTAAACAATTTGCCGCCCCGGGCAACAAGGTACACTTGCCCCCCCTCAAATACGGCCCTGAGCATGTCAAACACTTAGTATTAGGTATTTAAATTTTCATTGTATATTTTGAACACACCTAATAAGAAGTACGATGCATGACCATTTTCGTGAAGGTTCATTAGAAATGATTTTACATTGCTAGAGTTCCAAACACAAGCATCGTTCGCAGAACCCGGGAACTTAGCAGACACATTCATTATTTTTAAATCTGCATCACATATCTTTGAAGAAAAAAAATGCACTAATCAATGAGAATGAAAATATATTTTAATGTTTAATCTGTTAGTTAGTCTTCCCATTTCAAATTGGTGTATAGGAATTTCACTTAAAATCCACTTAATATTTATTTTTAAATTTAAATTTGACAAATGTTTACATATTATAATATGTGTTGAATCCACTTAAAATAAAATATTCAATTACTTACTAGTTGAGTGTTGATAGAATGGTATCCCTTTCTGTTTACATAAATATGTTCTGGGTACAAGTTGTCCTCAGTTTTAGGTGGCACAATTGCAACGTGCGTGCAATCAATTACTCCGATAATTCCGGGGAATGAATACTTATTGTAAAATCTAAAAATTTAGTAAATACTAATAATAAAAATTGGTACAAAAGTTAATTATCTATCCTACAAAACATGTTTATCAATAATAAGTGCCTATCTAACAACCAACAAATTAATATAATTTCAATGGATATTAATTAATTTCATTAATACCTAGTAAATAAATTGTTAAAATTAGGTGCCTACTGTTTGACTTACCGTTGATGTGAGCTATTTAGCTCCTCAAAGTTTCTGGGAAAATAAACATATTTTTCAAAAATACTTGGGTCATTCACAGCATTAACAAATTCTTCAATTATTCGACTAACCGATGGTTGACTAACTGATGAATGGCTATTTTCCCCAACATCTAACTGATAACTTCCTGCCGCTAAAAATCTCAGAGCTGTTAAAACCTAATTGAAAAATGCATATAAAATTGTAATAACTATTAAATATTCATTTGAAAACATTTATAACTTACAGTTATTTTATCTTAGAAAATATGTAATTAAAAAATGTACAATGATATTAATTTTCTGTGTCAACTTGAGTTTTTTTAATTTATTATTGTAGTATTATACATTTGTAATAAAAACAATTAATAAACATTAATATATTTATATTTAATTCAGAAATTTTGATTTCTCTTATCAAAATGTTAAGTTTGAAATTTTAAATAATTGAAATAGTTCACTTTTTACTAGTTTATATTTACAATTTAATTTTTACAATCATCAGTTTGTATTAACCACCATGTTTAGTACCTACTTCTATAATATTGTCAATAAAATGCCATTGTTTCATATTTAAGAAACAATGTAATTCATCACCTAACCACCATTTTGTGGATTTTATTTTTACTCAATAAATAATTAATCGATCATCATGCTAGGTACTTAATGAAGCTATTTAGTTTTAATTATTTCAGAAATATACCTGCGTTCAATAGTCAATGCACTTTGCCTAGATGGTTCCTTCATGAAAGGCCTAACCATGTCAATTACAGTTTGACATAGCTCTTTTGATAGTCGGTACATGCCTATGAACTGTCCATCAGATAAATCTAAAAACAGTGAATCAAAATAAAATATTAAAGTATATGTCACATGTAGGTACCTATCTACTTTTGATATTATTTTAATTAATATCTTTATTTAATGTATGAAATGTGACTCACGTTGAAAGGGATTTAGAGCTTCACGAGAATTTCGTATAATCTCAGCATCCATTTCAATGATCTCCAAATTTTCCACGGCTTGAAGATTTCCAAACAAATCCAAGTCATCCATATTGAATAAATTTAGCAAAAACACTTGAAGCAAGCAACACAGAGTAGCACAACAGAAGTCGATAATTAATTAAGCATTTCTGTTTTAGTAGGTACTTCTCGAAATATTTTTGTTATTAATTAAATAATCCTTAAGTCATAACATAATATGATATGCAGTGCATATAGATATAATGAACTAGTTTTTAATATATATTATCTTAACTTTCAAATCATAATTAAGTTAGAAATAAATTAATATCGTAATGTGTTTTATGCATATTGTATATAAATAATTATAATAATAAATAAAAGGTGATTAATATATTTTAATAAACCTTATTATTAAATATTAAGGGATACATATTAATATATTATATATATAATTATATAGGTAAATACCTACCTATTATATTTGGTCATAATAAGTAGTAGATACTTAATATTGGAATTCACCATAATAAATTATAGTTATTTCAGTTCTATTATTATACAGGATGATCATTTTATCATGAAATACTCACTATATTAAAAACTATTAACTTTTAACGTTTTTGAAAATATTATTTTATATAGCTTGTATATGTTGTTACAAAATAATCTTTTTTAAAAAATTATATTTTCTACCATTATTTATCGTAATTTTTTATTTACTTGAACGTAACACATTCAAATATAATGTCAACCAATGACAAAGCCGAGTCTTGATTTTAATAAAAAAATATATATTAATATTATATTCTGAAGCAGGAATATCTCTTGGAGTATTATAATACTTACATATTTTACATATTTACATAATGTTGTTTAACTTTATAATGATCATAGGTATTAGAAAAAAATGTGTGAAATATAATATACAATACATTGATATTGGTATAAATAATAATATAATTAAAAAGTGTATTAGCTTAGGTACTAGGTTCATATAAATGCGTAATTAAATCGGGCGCCATTACAGCGTAAATGATTATTCGTATACGAATAATAGGATTCTACTACGATACACCACACGACCCGTTCGTAGTAGAATCCGGTAGTAGAATAGAATCCGTTCGTATACGACCGGCGTTCAAGAATACGGTTTTGTCAAAGTAGTAGAAAAAGTACAAATATTCGTATACGACTACCGTTCTACTACTTTCAAGAATAGGCCCCCTGGCCGTCGACACCGCGGAGGTGGACGCTGCCGACGAAGTGGCCAATTTCCCCACAGAGTTCCTCAACACTTTGGTACCGGACGGCCTGCCGCCGTTCCGGCTTGAGTTGAAGGTGGGGTGCATCGTCATGTTGCTCCAAAATCTCGATCCGAGGAGACGACTGTGCAACGGTACGAGGTTGGTGGTCACCGAACTGCGGCGACACAATTTCAAGGCGAGGATTTTGGGCGGTGACCCAAGACGACGACATCTTCCTGCCCAAGATACCGCTCAGGTCCAGCGGTGAGGACGACCTGCCCATCCCACTGAAGCGCATTCAATTCCCGGTGAGGTTGTCGTTCGCCATGACCATCAACAAGTCGCAGGGTCAGACGTTCGACAGGGTAGGTTTGCTTCTGACGACGCCCCCATCCAGTCATGGGCAGCTGTATGTGGCGTTTTCGAGTGTGAGAAACGCACAGTCCGTGAAAGTCGGCATGCACGCCGATGACAGCGGGCGATTCGTCACCAAGAACATCGTTTACAGAGAGGTTCTGTAATGCATTATGTGTTCACAACGGTAAGTGAAGCTCGATGTTCGAGTCTAGGTGGCGCTAGACTATCAAGTATCGGTGATCAAGTCTACGTGACCCTCAATGATCAAGTCTAGCGTCACGCACAATAATTCAGTCTACGTGACCCTCGATGTTTAAGTATAGGTGGCGCTAGATTATCAAGTCTAGGTGACGCTCGATGATCAAGTCTATGTGACGCTCAATGATCAAGTCTATGTGACGCTCAATGATCAAGTCTATGTGACGCTCAATAATCAAGTCTAGCGTCACCCTACATGTTCAAGTCTAGGTGACTCGGAGAGAAAGTTTGACAACCTTATAGGATTTGAAAAATAATATTCATAATATTGTACTTTTCAATAATAAATTCATTTATACCTACTTCAAAATACATGGTCTACGTCATGTAATGTAAAAAAGCGTTTAAATAATAATAATATGTCACTTTGTAACGTTAGTTTACATTATTTAACCTTTTCATATGTTTTGTTAGTATTTAACTGCTAATTCTAGAAAATGGATTTGTTATTGATGTCTGTATGAGTAACTTTGAATATATCTATATTAATTCTAACTGTATTAATTTGTTTCAATATATTATTCATTATATTATGTACCTTTTTTAATTTGTTTTTACTTTTAATTATATAATGTTAACTTTTAAACACAATTTGCTATTTACATCTGAATGGATACATTTTTATAATAATCTCAAGATCCGTTAGTAGAATTATTACATTGTATTTACAATTGTATGCTATGATTGTATCGATTGAAAATACATATATTATGTAACTTCTTACATTTCGTTTGGTACTTTGTAACCACCAATTGTTATTATAATTAATTGTAAGTTTAATATACTATAATATGCTTTAACTTTTATGTCTATGCCTATAAATTTTAACCACAATTTATGTCTGAACAAATAACTTTTTATCTGTTAATATAAAATATAAATATTATTATAGTTGACATTGTATTCACAATCTTAGACTGTGATTGTATTTACATTTGTTACACTGTGCTATTGTGGAACTTTTCACATTTTGTTTTATACTTTATAACCGCCAATTGTTATTATTAATACAATATAATAATATGTTTTCACTATTATGTCTAACTTTTTATTATAATCTAAATATCTGGTCATATAATATTATTATACTTGGTATTCAACCACCAATTGTTATTATAAGCTCTCTATAACTTTGCTTTTCATGTCAGTATGAATAAACTTTTTTATAATAATATAAATATCTGTTAGTAGAATTTTTAAGGTTGAGATTGCATTTACAGTCCTATGCTATGATTGTATTAATATTATTTTACTATTATGTCTATGCCAATAACTTTTAAACACAAAATTTTCAATTTATGTCTGAACTTATAACTTTTTATAATAATCTAAAATATCTGTTCATATAATATTATTATAGTTGGTATTCAACTACCAATTATTGTTATTATAAGCTCTCTACTATTACTTTCCTATTCGTGTCTGTATGAATAACTTTTTATAACAATCGAAATATTATATTAAGTAACTTTTTACATTTGTTTTTACTTTGTATCTATTTAATAGTAGTTGTAATACCTTTTATCACTATTATGTCTATGTCAAGGACTTGTGATAATTTATGTCTGTATGAATAACTCTAAATATAATAGGCCAAATATCTGTTGGTACAAGTGGACTGTATTGTTACGTTTGATACGTAACGTTTTAATTGTTTCATCACTATGTATTATTACATACCTATCATACTACTATTTCACACAATTCAATACTATAAGCTAATATTACTGTATTTTACCTATCATCACTGAGAATTTCTGGTAATTTGTAACGTCTATGTAACAATAAAAAAAATATTGCAAGGCGACTCATAACTTATATTTAATAGCCTAACCCAACCTAACGTTTTATTTGTATCGTCACCGTATTATAATGATACATCAATATTGGTTGGTATTTATCTATGTTCTTTGTATTACACTGCCTATTGCTGTTATACACATCTAACAATGGCAAAAAAATATTTAAATACATAATTACACAAATAAACATATTTTAAAATACCGGCTTACATCAGACCCCTCGACATTTTAAACCTAACACATAGGCTACTAATATTAGTATACTCTAATATTAACTAATGTGTTAACCATGATTATTATATTAAGGTAGAAAATAAAAACAAGACATGTGAAAATAAAAGTTTTTATTCATTGCATCTGCAAAATATTAAAGGGAAAAGAATATTGTTAGGATAATGACATTAAATAAAATTCTCCAATCGACAACTTAAGGTGGTGATAGGAGGAGGCTCTCCAATTGTGCCAGGGCCGAGGCGCAAGACACGCCAGCCATCGATTCATACAACGTCTACAATTTATATAATTCATAGAATTAACATTTTAAACATAGCATTAAAAGGTATTCTCAAATTCACAACTTGCTGTGGTCTATCCAATACCACATGTGGGCTGGTCCACTTTCATTCATATCCTACAATTTTGTATTTATTTAGCGCTATTAGGTTTAAAAATATTACTTACGGGTGACGACATCGGGGTCGACGTCACGTTTGGGGAGGGCGCCGAGGGAGCCGGACTTCTTGTCAAGGACTTTTCGGTGAGACTCCGCGGCGGCCTCACCCTCATCGAACCCCGGGTCGATCCACCACCACGTTGTATGGCTGGTGATCTCGGCGTCTAGCTGGTGTGTGGGGGGCTATAAATATAACAAACATTATTAATTTAATTTTTAATTTATTATTAAACTGCGATATACACTCACCGAGGCATTGCCGGACCGTGTGCCCTAGCCGGTTGCACCTATAACATCCTGAAACACGATGTAGGCGTTAGTTAATAGTAAACATTTTAATGTACCTATCATTTATTTACTTACATCGGTTGGCGGTCGCCTTTCGCGGATGGCGCGAGGCGTTGGCGGTGCAGGTCGTGGCCGGCGGATGACGCACGGCGGTGGCGGTGGCGGGTCTGCCACAGCCGGACCATTGTCGACGCGCAAGTTCGTCACTGGCCCGTAAAACGTGATCACATTATGGTTCATTCTGAAAATAAAAAAGAAGGAACATTCAGCGTATGTCAGCATGATATATTTGTTTTTTCCTCTCAGACCTGTGCAACGTAGACATAGTATAAACGTCTAACTACTTTACCGGAATAAGCGTGGGCAGGTGCTTACAAAAAAGTAAGCCCTCTAAGTTTAAATATTCATTCATAAATACGATCCGCGTTGGATGTGTCGAAAACAAGCTAATGTTATTGTACTTATTTTAAAGTTAATAAATGAAAAGAAATAAAAAAATGGATGGTAAAACAAAGCAATAAATTCGTGACAAAAATCACGTGTTGCGCACAATACTAGCCTATTATTACACGATCCGCGTTAAACATGTTAAAAAAACAAGCCCCTGATGTACACTTGCGCCAATTGCCTCTAATGTTCTATGCATTGTTAATCATTCTAAAGTTAATAAATAAAAAAAAGTGTAAATTGAAAGAATTTTTCAGTATTATTACGTTTGTGGAATGATAAAATATTTTATTCGTTAAACGGATTATATTGATTGATAAATACCTGCGATCTGCGGTGAACGTTTTAAAAAACAACACATGTCATTAATAATACAAAATATACTCACGTGTTGTCTGTTGTTTTTGCAAAAGTCACGATGGCAGGCGGATGTTTAATAACGGTTCGTCGACAAATTGTCGGACGTAGGCGCAGTTCATTGTCAACGCAGGCAACCAATGCAGGTAATTAATTAATGACATATTATATTGACATTGATTGATACACACGCAAACATGGTTTTCAAAAATTCCCGCCTTAAACAGAATACCGCCAAACCGGTAGGCCTTATCACCGAACGTTCATCGTCGTTAAATTACCCAAGTAGTAGGTACTTGATTGATATATTTTAATCACGGACTAAGATAGAATGGACCATAGATATATAAAACAACTAGATAGCCGACTCAACGCCAAAAATTTAAGTCTGGCATCCATATGCGAACAGGGCAAAATACGATTGATTAATCCATGACATTATATAATTTTCCATGAAATATAATTTATCTATGATTGAAACATGATAATATAGGTATGATATGATGAAATTATGATTGCTACTTCGTTAGTTCGTTACAATTTACAAAATTACAAATTTGAAATTACAACTTACAAGTTTAAAACCATAAAACTTACCAACAGATTTACAGATATATAATAATACTGTTTTATTTATATTATGTGATCTTCCTATATGCATTGAATCGAAATTGTTTGTTTACAAACATGGTGGTTTCTTGTTCTGTGTCTGGTTGTGTCAATAGAAGACAGAAAGGAAGCCATGTTCATTTTTTTTCGTAAGTTATACATTGTTATATATTATGTAAACTATTTATTAATTATTTTCCGTATTAGGTAGTTAGGTATATAAAAACTATAATAAAATTGTTCACACTTTTTAGATTTCCATAAAAAAATCCAGAAAGGAATCAACTGTGGGTTACTGCTATACGTCGGAAAGGGTTTGTTCCTACCAAAAATAGTTGTATTTGTAGTGAACACTTTGTACAGTCTGACTATGACTTAAAACCAGGAGGTAGTTATAAATTATACTTAAAGGAGACGGCTATTCCATCAATGATTCCTGATCCAAAAATTAAAAGCAAAGTCATTCGAATGAGTATTGAAGAAGTTTTGACATCTGCTGAAGACGCAGATATATCTGTGGCTAAAGACCATGATCAAAAATCAGATAGAGAAAATACATCGGAGCTTATTGATAATACTCAAATTTTACCAGATTCCCAAGATCAGGAAACAGTGTTAGGCGAAGTCTTAGGTGAAACTCTATACACACCTATTCAAAAAAAGAAAGTAGGCCTAGATACAGAAAATATACTCACAACTCCATCCAGATTTAAAGTTAAAAGACCATTATTTTCTCCATCGCCTAAATGTAAAAAAGTAGCCAAAATAGATTCTCCAAATACTATGAGTTTGAAAAAAACTATTAAAAATCTACAACAAGGAATTAGACGGAAAGACAAAAAAATCAAAAATCTTGTTGGTTTAATTGCTTCAATGAGCTCTAAAGGATTAATTGATAATCAATCTGAACAACTTTTAACTGACAGACTTGAAGGAGTATCCAAAGAATTATTTTCAAATGAACTTTTAAATAAAGGTAGGAAAGCTACTGGTTTTCGCTACAGTAAAGTAATTAAAGAGTTTGCTATAACGCTAAATTACTATTCTCCGAAAGCGCTTAAGTACTGCAGGTAATTTGGTTTGCTTTAAATAAATTATGATATTAAGGTTGGTTTTTGCAATACCCTGTAAAGTGTTGGTTAGCTGTAACCTACACTTTACGGGACTTTGTAAAAATGGCCCGAAGTGCATGTTACCATCTATCATAATTTTAAAATCACAAAGTTATTTTTCTGCTTGCATGTATATATATTATATAATATTATGTAGTTAGAAAACAAGTAAATTTAATATCATTATTATTTCACATGCACTTTATGTAATAAGTATAGAAAATATTAATTTAATATCATGTTTGTAATACTTCATACATTATTTTTAGGTCATTTATGAAACTTCCTAGCTCAAAATCAATAAGTAATTGGACATCAAGCATTAATGGAGAACCAGGATTTTTTAAGGAAGTATTCGATGCAATCAAAACTTTGAATTCAGATGATAAAGACTGCTGCCTTATGCTAGATGCAATGTCTATTAGGAAACAAATTTTATGGGATGAGCGCCTTGGAAAAATGATTGGAAATACAGACTATGGTAATAGTATGGAAGTTGAAGGTACTGATATGGTAGCCACTGAGGCTTAAGTTTTTATGTTAGTTAGCATAAATGGTCGCTGGAAATTACCTATAGGATATGTTTTTATTAATAAACTAACAGCTGTAACCCAAGCAGAACTAATTAAGTCAGCATTGACTCACTCTCATAATGCCGGATTAACTGTACACAGTGTAACATGCGATGGTGCGTACACTAATTTTTCTACATTTAAATTACTTGGCTGTTCGGCAGGGAATAGTTATGATGACATTAAATGCTGGTTTGACCATCCTGTAACAAAATCTAGAGTGTACTACATTCCTGATGCTTGGCCATATGTTGAAATTGGCACGTAATACATTGGCCAACAATTATGTAATCGAATCAGAAGATGGCTTAATAAAATGGGACCATATAAAAAATGTCTTTGAGGTTCAAAAAGAATTAACATTGAAACTTGCAAACAAATTAAGCAATGCACATATCAACTTTCAAAATAATAAAATGAAAGTAAAGTATGCGGCACAGACGTTAAGCTCATCCACGGCAGATACTTTACAGTACTTACAAGAAACTAAATTTCCTAACTTTGAAAATGTAACTGAAACAATAAAATACTGTCGTACAATTGATAGGATTTTTGACTTCTTAAATTCCAAAAGTAAATTTTCAAAAAAATTTAAATCTCCAATTTTTAGAAACAATATTAATCAATTAGAACCAATTATTGTACCATTAATTGAATATCTGTATACTTTAAAAACTAAAAACTCACCTTTATTTTTATCCAATAAAAAAACATTTATTCTCGGTTTTGCTTTTGCAGTTAAGTCTGTAATTTCACTAGCAAAAAACATATTTTCTCAAAATCAAAAAATTAATTACATTTTGACCTACAAATTTCCACAAGATCATATTGAACTACTATTTGGACGTGTTCGTCAACGTTTTGGATATAACAATAACCCAAATGCTTCACAGTTCAAAACTGCTATCAAACAGATATTAATGAAAAATTCTTTAAAATGTAAATCCAATTTCAACTGCAATACATTTGATGATGATCCAATTGGATCACTCTTTGAAATTAAATGGAGAAAGGCATCGAATAAAGAAAAGATTTGTAATCTTGACAACGATGAAACAATTATTAATGAATTTGAGATGGACGCCCAAAGAAATATGCAACTTATGAACATTCATACACATTCAAGTCAAGTAAGAAGCCATGAGCAGGATCTTAAGAATAATATATTGTACTATATAGCTGGATATATTATAAGAAAATTGATTTTAGACTGCGACTCTTGTAAAATGGCTCTTTTATCACAAAACAATGAACATGACTATTGAAAATCTGTATCTTTTTCAAAATTTGTAAATCTAAAAAATCAAGGTGGATTAATTTCAGCATCCGATTCAATTTTCAAAATAATCCATGAGGCTGACAAAATGTTTTTGTTTTTAACTGATAATTTTAAATCTTTACATATACCTAATCTTGATATTAAGATAATTTGCCATACTGTTAATATGTATTCTTTAGACAGGAACATTTTCTCAGATTTAAATTATGATAATGTATCTTTATTAGAAAGACCACATAAACTAGTTCTTATAACACATATAACAAAAAAAATTGTAAGACTTAGATTAAAATCATTTGGAAAAATGTATTCAACAGATATTTTGAACCCTGTCAGTAAGAGACATAAATTATCTAAATTAATATTATTCTCCAACCAATAAAATAATTGTATTCATAAAAGTGTAATGAAGAAATATATACTAATTGTTAACTATTGTTGTGTTGATTATGTGTATAATACCTATGCTTTATAATATTATAGTATTTATACTTATATAAATTATAAGTAGGCCTCATTGTGGTGGGTGGAAGTATGTTGATAAGAGTTTTAAATTTATAGAATAATAATCTGATCTTTCTAGTTGTATTAATAATATGATTTTGTCATTTTAAGTTAGCATCAGCTATAGTAATAACTAGATATTTTACTTTTTGAACTAGATAAAATATAGTAGTGCAATTACATAGATACTTACATTACTAATAGAAATCACTGTATTTATATTAAATTCATTACAGTTTTTTTGATGAGGCTTGAGATAATTATAAATGTATAACTAATGGGTTAAGATTTATTTATACTAAGGTTTATAAAGCAAGTTTAGGTTAAATTAAGTTCCAGGAGGTTATTGTCAAACCATATTTTGACAATACTTAATACACGTGTAGATTATGAATACTATTTTTCTTTATGTCATCCATAATAATTGACGTGTCATCAGTAAAACTGAAAATTGATTCATTACAATTAATACTCAATAAGTCATTAATAAACACAATGGAAAAGAGGACCCAATACAGTACCTTATGGTATTCCGTGATTTGAAATTATTCATTATTTTATTATTATAAAGAGAAAAGATTTGTTTGTGTATAATTGATAAACTCGAAAACTACTGAATCAGTGATCAGCTGAGCGTAAAATGTGCGATGTACGCACTTGTAAGTCGGAAAAAACAAATATCCGTACAACGTCCTCTTAATCGGACTGATTCAGAAATCAAATTTTCGCAGTTTTTAAAAAATCATGGAGTAATTAAATATTTCATGGATTAATCAATCGTATTTTGCCCTGTTCGCATATGCTGCCAGGCTTCATAGGTCTTATGAGACTTTATCACAGAGTCGGCTATCTAGTTGTTTTATATATCTATGGAATGGACTGATATCGAATGTCTTATCAGTGTGACACAAATGTTTCTCTAGACAAGGTACCAGAGTACACTACATTCAGCGCCATCTATGGAGAAATAACCGTAACAATTTTATTTTTCTATTCATTAGTCACTATTTACTTTTCTATCGTATATTATTATCACTAGATAGCGTTGAACATAGTGTACTTGTGATAGATGTGCAGTGTAGCGGGGCAGAAACATTTGGGGATCAGACCCTACCACCTCGCCGTCCCTACCGTTACCAGTCCATTCTATCTTAGTCCGTGATTTTAATACAATTATTATTTAATTATTGCATACCTAATGACGTGACCCGGCCGTCGCACATTTTCCTACTTATGATAACTTTACTGAGATAACTGACTCAAAAAAGATGGGTGTTGTACGAAATTGTTCACGTTATGTCGTGTTTTCGTGGACAGTAAAGAACACGGCCGTCCCACGTTGTCGGATTGCCTACCCGAATAATCTCCTAGACCTCAAAACATTTCATTATTATTATTATGTAATTGCATACCAGATGCCTCGACCTAGTCGACCTGGCCGTCACACGTCATCACGTTGTCTACCCGGGTGATTACGTCCAACGTCGAGGAAGGCGACTGACCTGCTAGACACCGAAAAAAAAGGTGGCTATAAAACTCGGCCGTCGCACATTGTCGGATATCCTACAAGTATTACTAAGGCGGACGTATATTCGAGGTGACTGATCTGCTATACACCCACAAAAATACAACGACTATATTATTTTTTTACTGAATTTCGAATTTCCGGCGGCGTTGTCGAAAAGACTCTGTCAAAGACTTTGTCCGCTACGCGACGACCCGGCCGTCCGGATGGCCTGCCCAAGCTACCACGTCGAACCGCAGTGGTCCTAGCCTTATCACACATCCTTATCACCATACCTCCTCATTGCCGATCATAGACATAATATAGAAGAACTAGATAGCCGACTATAATTTGTTATTGAAGTCGCGTCCGCCATATGCCTCAACGGCAATGTTTACATTTTTAAATGATAACGCTATTTGATAAGAACAAAAATTAATTATTTAATATTTTAAAATTGAATTACTTAATTACTAAAATTTAAAGTGCAATTATTATACAAATTTTTACCTAATATTAACAACATTTTTTACTTTTTATCTAAGTTTGTAAAATTAATGATCAACTTTTTCATCAGTCCATAAATTGCCATCATTTATATTATTCAGCATTAAATTCAATGTACATTCCTCATTAGTCATTACTCATTACCAATAAATTAAAAAAAAGAAAACACAGTATTTTTTGAAAATCTAATTTATTTTATTCTAATATTTACTGTTAAATATCTACTAGATATTATTATTAAGCAACATTAATTATTGCTGAATAAAATTGTTTTTGTTAGCTTGTGGCGGTTGCTTATAACATTTATTGATTCGGTATATGTTTTTGAGAAAGAATGTAAACGGATTTTTAGATACTTTTTTGCAATAATCGTTATCAATACCAATTTATGTGGACGTTCTAAAATGGATACATTTTCACAACTTAAGGATGGAAATATGTTGCTGTCTAAACTAAACAAACGTATACAATGGTTAATAATTTTTAAATCTAAATTTTGTTCAAAAAGACGCTTATTTTCTTTGTATAACCCAAACATTAATTCACATTCAGATATAATTTTGAACACACAGTCAGAACTACAAATGAGACCTCCT